TTTAACTCAAATTCTCATCTTCATCTACCAAGATGACAGGAAACAGAAAAGAGCCTGTTACCAAAAACTTCGATAAAATTCAGTTAAGTTATCCAGATGGTTTTCATTCCACAGAAAATACTAAACCAGCAGTTTGCAGAGCATAGCATTTTCTAAATACACAAAATAAAGAGAAAACAATACACAAGTGGAAAATGCAAATGCTGAGCCCATTATATTTTTGTTCCAGCAGAAACACAACACAATCAATACAATCTTGCAGTTCTAGGGCACCCGTCTTTCTGCTGCTGGGGGTGCTCTGCAACCGTAAGTGCCATCAAATAAAGCGCACACAGTTCCTAGTTTGACAGCTTATTTTTTCCTTTGCTATATGCAGAAAGGAGGAACTGCATTTCTATCACATAGCCCCCAAAGCCTGGCATTCCCTATACCACTACAAGAAGTCAAACAGCAGCTACTGAGCAACCTGTATACTTTGGATGACTCTGAGAACAGCCAAATTTAGCATTTCTCCAAAGCATAGCCTGATTCTGTAGCTCAGAAATACAGGGAAAACTATCTTTTATTAAATAGCGATTACAGAATTGAAATTTTAAGAGCCATGAAAGTCCCTGCCACAAAAAATAAGCCCGCTAAAGAGAGACAGGGACAGATACTGCAATTTCTGCACTGTGTTATTTAATAAACCTCAATGAAAAGGTATTAAATTACAGATGGGAAACACGCATCAGACAATTGTATGACAACACCAGAAATCACTCAAATCCACCACCAGAAGAATTAGAAAACTAATCAGAAAGATCAGCAAGAGATGAGCCATGAAAAAATATCTTTATAGTTACAGATGGATATTCATCCCTTTTACACGGCATCTCACTAAAACGTTTCATAGCAACGGGGCAAGAGTTATCAGATAGCAGGGGATGAGACTGGTAACCATACAAACCAGTACCATCCTCCAGCTCATAGCACATCCCAAAAACGATATGAGAAAACAGGCGAGTGAGCAAACCCAGTAGTTATGTGAGGAGGAGCTGCAAGAAATCACTAAAGCATTTCTTCTTCAGATCATTAATATGCTTTTTTCTGCAGTAGTCCTGGTTTTCCACATCAGCCAGCCAGGATGGCACAAACAAGGGCATCACCACGATCTGCTGAACATTGTGCCGTAACGAGAGCACACTGACGCTCTCACAATCCTTTGGGAGAGCAGGACCTGTCATCTTCCGTGTGCCTCTGTCTCTGTGCCTACCTAAAAGAGCTCTACTGCCCAGGCTGCGGAGGAGAAGCCCTGGGTATGAAAATGGTGGGATTACCAGCTGAGACTGCGCCCACCATCAGAGATGCTGCAGGTTGCAGATCACTGCAAGAGCCACCTTTTCTCACCAGCCTCCTTTCACCGAGCTGGTAACGCAGCACGACATGTGGCACAGCAGAACGGCGTTCGGGAACACGAGATCATCGGACCTGTTCCTCTGAAGGTCTATTTATAGTCTCAAGTGGTGCTGCGAGGCAAAAGGCCAAATGGTCAACAGTTTCAAAGAGCAAGTCCCTAAAGATCCCACCTGAGATCCAAGGACACACACATACACCTCCCTCCCCCCAGATCGGTGCGTGAGATCGCTGCAGACCCTGAGGAGGGAAATTTTGTGTTATGGAGATCACAGCACCCCAGCACAACTCTTACAAGCACCTTCGTTAGAAAGGTTAAGTGAGGGATAATTAACAAGTCTCCTCCACAAAGGAGGACTCCTTTAGAAAGACGGTAATTACTGCCTACTCAGAGGGATCTCTCCCAGAAAGCAGGCTGCTGTAAAGGTAGGGTGGCTGATTCCTTTGGGAAATACCAAAAAGGCTGCAAGGAAGACCCTCCTCAGCTCTGCAAACATGCAGCAGCAGCACCAGGCCCCTTCCAGACAGCCCTGTTCTCTTTGCAGGGGCAGCTCCAGAACCTCTGAGATCCCCTTAACAGGCAGATCTGCTTCATGCTTTTCTACACTACTTGACACGCTTGAAAAACAGATAGTCCTTGCTGGCCCACAGCATCTTCAGGGCCAGCAGCTCCAACAGCACCGCAAATATCAGAAGCTGTATTAGCTGGGAACTAAATTATCTCTTGCAGAATAGTTTTGCAATTAAATTGAAACTGTAATTGTGCAACAAGCTAAATCAAAAAAACAAGTTTGTGATAGAGACACAATCATATTTCACCTCCTGACTTACTCACTTTACTCCTTTGTAACTCACTTCTACATAGGTTCAAGCTTTTCTTGCTGTACCACGAATGATTTCACATTCCTAAAAAATTAAGCGCTCTTAAGAAATAACGTATACTTGTCTCACTCTTAATATACACCTTTACCTGACAGCTTCCTCAGCAATACTTACCACTCAGAGAGGCCCTTCAGCCATCAGTACCATCAGAGTTCAATACCACCCTTCGACCTCCTTGCCTTCCTGCAACAATTCAGGAATCTCTGGTTCCCATAACACTAAAGATCCAACTCCCTGTGCCCCAAATACCACCACTTGTATTTCAAGCAGATCCTCATATTTCATGCTGTGACCTCAACTACAGAGATTTGGACAACTACCTTTTAGAAACAGATGGAGCTGAAAATGATCTAATTTCTGAGCACATCTTCCTTACCTCCTGGTAGAGCTGTTCCACTTTGTACAAATAACTATTTTCTGGAGCAGCGTGAGAACCATCCCAGGTGAATTATCATTCCCTTGTGTTACACTAAGCCACTCCTGCCCCTACCAGCTCAATGAATACTATACAAGGCAAAACGGACTAGCTGCTGCAAAACAGACACCTCAAAAAGCCCATGGCTTACTGGTCTGGGCACTCCAAAGGGTGGGGGACATTTTCAATCCCATGTTTTGAGTCACATACAGGACTCAAACTCAAAACTTCTGAGTCCCAGGTCAATAAAGCTGGGGTAAGGGGATGTCGTACTACCTGCTCTTCCTCATCTTTGTAAAACAGAACTGTCTTTGGCACGTCGCTCCGAGAAAGGTTTAGCAACAGCTCACCTAGACCAGACAACCAAATCTTCAAGGGACAGTGTACGACACCAACATCAGCCTCTTACACCCTTCACTGGCTGACTCAGGCAATCCCTCACTCCATATGCCAGTTTTCATAAGCCTTCTTTGAAGCCGCCTTTCCCCGATGCGTTCTGTAAGGAACCCAAACACCTACCTCATGGTGGTTTTGTTTGTTTTTTTTTTTTTTTTTTTAATTCCACTAGGCAGTAGAACACATAAAAATGAGATGATGCAACACTAAACCAAAGTTTCCCTTATGAATATAGCCCTAGGTGCCCAACAGGATGTGACAGGTGGACAGGCAGGCGAGCAGAGCAGGAGGATGAGGTCACAAAATGAGCAGTTGCACAGCACACTACTAATCTTAAATTCCAAACTCATTATGCACAATCCTAACAAACAAAGGAGCAGCTTAACAGATTTACAATGTGCCTTCTCCAAGGGTGGAATAATTATTTATCAGATAGCAACCTTCATGTTACAACAGCAATAAATAAATAAATGATCCCAGCAACTCTTCTGAACCATGTCTATACCTTCACTAGACAGACTGACATCTGGGATGTGCCTCTGGCTTGGCTGAGCTTGGGTAGAATTGTAAATATTTGGTACAAATAAAATAAAGCTTGCTAGACTGAGCAGAAACCCAAACACAGTAGTTAATGGCATCCCAGGAGACCCACTGCAAGAGCCCCACACCCCCCTGAACTCCTTCCAGCTTCCAATGAACAGCCCGTAAGAGTTTTTTTCCCTCTGCTTTTCTGTAAGATCATTCCCTTCCGAATGTGTACACATCTCAGTATCATTCCGATTCATTCAGACCGAAGTCCACAAACATTATAAAAAGGGGCTGTACCTCTATATTCCTAGTTTGGCTTTACAGCTGGATATTACCATGCAGGGACACATCCAGGAAAAGCACTTCCAAAGTAAACCATATTTTACACAAACTCTCTCCTCCTTTATTTAGGTAAAACCCAAAGAATTCTGAAAGGAAATAGTAAATATGGACAAACCATGCTCAGGCAGGCTCTCCCCTCAGATATCCCAAAAATCCTTTTCTAGCTCTATTGTACTGTTCTGACTTCCCAGTTTGAAGTTCCAGGACCACAAGCCCCCCTTGCCCACATTCCCTATCTCTTACCATCTGACAGATTCCAAAGTGTGCTCCCATCTTCTCACCCTGAAACAATTCCCAGCTGATTTACCTCCATCCCAAGCTAGATGCTTTTCCTCCAAAAAGGATCACAGTAATTCCTATTTTCTGTACATGTTACAACAGGATAGCTGGCGGTAAGATTTGTAACGATCATTCACCGTTCCTGTCTCCATTCTCTGAAGCATCCTTCATTCAGGACATTCTGGTTGTTCCCACTTCTTACTTTTCTCTGGTCTCCAGACCCCAATGCCCCTGCCCTACTAGGCATCCACCATTCATACAGCAGTTTGTGTTCTCACATACTGAGAAGACAAAAAAACAGTGTGTCAGCATCCCAGAGTTACAAGCAAGCTTTGACAATACAGTATCTGTTACTGGTGTGATGCTTTAAACACATTAAATTTTGCAAGCTTCCAGTGCCTAAATATCTCAAAGACGATCAATATCTTTCCAGGTACCCAAAACACTAACTTTCACCATGTAAAGTCCTTTTCACTTGGATTTCATCACTAATAAATTATTCAGCGTAACAGTGGGCTGAACCAGGCACATAATCCTTGCACACAGACAAATGAAGCTTGCCTTTGTAGCTTTGAACAGACACAAACCTTCTTCCTACTCCCTGCAACTTCAGGGGTCTCTTCACAAACGGTCTCACAAGATGGTCTGAGAACACTAGGCCACCCCCAGCATGGCACCCCCAGCCACACCAGCCTAATCAGCAGGTTCAGGTGGGTTTATGCCCATTTTGTGTGAAAAGAACAGCACCGATGGAGGTGCAACATACCTGTGAAAGTAGATCGCCATTTCTTGGGAAGCATTTAAGGAGGATGAATCCAGTTCTTCCAAGAGATGGGAACTGCCGCATCATCTCAAATGCGACTGTTTCCCTTAACCAAAATGTCCCTATGAAATACTGACTGCAGGATTGATCTCCAGCCGCCTGGCACCATACCTGTGATATTCTAGAGTGAGAGAAGAAGGGTCTGAAAAAAAGATATTTATTTGATCTCGATGCTCATTTCTCCAAGTCATACAGAATTCATAAACTCCACATCTGCAAATGTATGTCTGCCTACATTGTAAAGGAATAATCTTCATGGGAACTGATTTCAGAAAAACTTGTTTACTGTTAGAAGCTGTTAATTACAACATTAAAATACTAGCCCAAACCCTACATTAAACTTGCATTCTACTTTACATAGCAGTATAGGTAACAATCATCACAGCAAGCAGCTCTGTTGGCTCGTGCTGGAAGAAGTAATTATACAGCACAGCAACGCATTTTTGCCCTTCAACCTGCCAGTCCAGTCCATGCAGCAGCTGTGAGCAGCAGGTCAGGGCGGGGAAGCCTACAGAGGGTTTCTACATAATCACCACTGAAGAAAAAAAAAAAAAAAAAAAAAAGCTATAAAACCACCAGACCCTGGCTTGCATGCTTAGCAGAAAGCTGCTAACACAAACATTACAGCAGCCCTTGAAGCAGAGATGTTACCAGAAAAAATGAGCTCGATCCAAAGTCATTATTAGTGGTTAATGTATTAGATAGCAGTTGTATTGCAAGCTTTCCTTACTAATCTTCACAATTTTTGTACTTGTACCAGTAGTACCCACACTATTCTCTTTCACTTGGACACTCCTATATCCTCTTTGAAACACTTATTCTCAGGTGAAGCCTATGGGCATTGATGACTAGGGTCTATGCAAGTCGCAAACTGAAATTCTGGCCAAAGATACCGGGCCAGAGCCCTTTTAAAAGGCACCCAAAAATCGCTAGTGCCCATCCACAGCAAGTAGACCCTTGGCGTGTCTAGCACTGCAAACCACACATAACTTCTACCTTGGAGATGGGCTGGAGGACTGGCTGATCTGTTCCAGACTGTATTATGGTCTTCGGTCCCAGTGAATCTAAATATTTCAATCTTGACACTCAAAGCAGCATCAGCTCTTTTACAGCTGTTGCAGATAAAGCAGTAGTATTGTTATATTATTAATATGAAACAATATTCCTTTTCCTGTGCTGTTTTTCGCTGGTCTGAAGTGTAAAACTACATGTAAGTCAACAGTCCTGTTACTGTTTAGCTGCTGGGATTATTAAAAACAAATAAATAAAATAATCACAGTTCTAGTATAATACGATAGTGATGCAACAGTTAACCATCCAGGAAAATCTGCTGTGCCATGCTGCTTAATCATGTTGTCTTTGTACCAGCACAAATTATATTAAAAGACTGTGAGTTTTACCAAACAAAAATGTTACAACCAATGTATTTCAAAAACTTTTTGAATCTAAAATAGAACAAGAGAGACAATAATGGCTAAGAGCCTGACCAGCTTAATGGAAGTTGGACTCTTGTTATGTTCTCAACACTGAAACAGCAGATCGTTCTCAGAAGACAGCTAACAGCCAACACACAATTTCAATTTTTAGCAGAAAAGTAAACAGAAAATTACACCTTCCATTTCATTTTCAAAGTCTTAAAGTGTGTTGCTTTAGAAAGAAAAGCTAGAAACAGGAGGACAGCATAGTTAATGTTGGAACAGGTTTCTCCTGTACCCTCATTCTTAAGCAGCTGTATAGATTTCTTCCCATTAAACTTTTAATCATAGAACGCGATGAGAGGCTGAATTTGTTTATAAAATAACGCATCTCCAAGTCTCTTCTGCTCTCTTTTCCCAGTTTTCTTCTAGATCCTGATCAAACTGTACAGCAGGAATTACTCACACTGCCTACCACTGTGCTGGAAAGGACCTCTGATATATCACCCTATGTGCCAAATAAAAACATACACAGTGCAGAATAAACTCCGCAATGACTTCTTAATGACAACTGGTAGATTCACAGCAGCCCCAAAAATTCTGGTCCAGAGGCTTATGAAATTACCTCCACTACACGTGGGGAAACAAGCAGTGCCAGGGGCACCCCGGGTATCCATCAGCAGGGCTGCAACTGTTTACTTTCAGCCATTTATAAGGCAGAAGACTATATTGATTCAAATTATCACCTGGATTGTGCAAATCGATAGTAGCCAGCTAGGGGAGCTTCCTGCTCATCAGAAAGGTTTATTTCATGCAGAATGCATACATACTTACACACGACTAATAGGCTGCAGTCTGATAAATAAAAAGAAAATACATGTGCATGCTAAATGGTGCGTGGTCAGTGCAGTTAGCTCAGCCTCAAAATATCTGTGCTCTCTCTGATCAGCCTGGCAGCTGAACAAAATCCTCCCGAGGAAAGCCGGCTAGGGAAGCAAAAAGGTGACGTTCAATAGTTCATATCAAAGCAAGTGCTGAACTGAATTTCATGGGCTATTTCTGTTTCCTTGCTAAATAGCAAATGCCTACTGCAAATAACAGAGTGAGAGTTTCGCAGAAGAGGAAAAGGTCAACAAGGATCTCTCACCATGGAAAATGCTCTGCTACAGACAGGGAGCAGCACCGGCTCCCAGTATAAAGAAATACAAAGAAATGCCGTTTATTGTCTCCACATGTTTATACAATAGACACTCCACTTGCAGCCTTTCTGTTTAAGACTGTTTTCAAAAATAACAAAGTACAAAAAGATGTGGCGAGGGTTTCCTTCCCAGTGAAGCGAATTTGAGGTGCAGAATAAACATGAGATTATTGACTCACTCACAAAAATGTTACCGGAGAAATTTCAAAGAGACGTACTTTTGGCTTAGCTCTACTCCCACTGACGTCGGTTAAGACTTTTACCATTGACTTCAGTCAGTGCTAGCCTACGTATCACTTCAAACCCAGCTATTATTACCTTTTAGTTTAAAATATGTAATGTTCCTCTGGAACAGACGGAAAAATATTTCAGGAACTTTTAAAATCTGTTCCTCCACGATACTTTTTTTTTTTTTTTTTTTAAACACACTGAGACGCAGTTCCTGGATGCAAGCACATGTGACCTGTTCTAAATAAAGGATATTTTCCACTTCTTGCACAACTGGAACAGATATAAGCAGTAGCTTGAACAAACTGCATTGCAGAACCCAACCAGAATATAAAACACTTGAATAAGATCCATAAATAGCAGTAATATGAAAAGACTACCTCCAATAAGGCACAAACTCAATGCTGAGAAGCCTAATGTAATCAAGTTCAAATTTAATCACGCTACAAAGTTCATTTACAAAATTAAATTTGCTCATCTGCAGACTAAGGCACTTTAGAAAAGTCCTTTCTGGCTCCAGAGTAAGTATACATTTCAAAAATGTGTGCCTCTAGTGAAATTAATATTTCCTCAACAAACACTGTGTATTAAAAGGGAAGTTTCAACTAAATCAAGACGTCAACGTTTAGCACAGTACAACGGTGGGGGGAGAAAAGGGGTGCTTTACAGAGGATCTTAATTTGACAGAGATGAGATACTAGCTGATATAAGTAAAATATTGAAGATTTACATTTAAAAAAGCATTTGGGCACCAGGAATGATGATAATTTTATAAAAAACATCACTGCTTTAAATATGACAAGCTCTACATCTCAATGCTATTGCTCATAAAGCAATAATAAGCTTCCTAAAAAAACTATCATGCAACATAAAAGCATTTCCTAATAATTTTTTCCACTAAAAATACTTCAGTAACTGCATCATTCAGGTGCTTTTTAACCAGTTTGAAAATAAGTAAGCTGGGAAAGGGCAACAGAAAATAGCACAAATAGTAATTTACCTGCACGTACGTGGTTTTATTAAGAGCAAGGCAGTAAATTACATCAACTGACAACAAATTGCTGACACTTGCTAGGCCACGCACACCACCCAAATGGACACACACTGCAAAGAACCAAAAAACAGAGAAAAACAACTGAACGTAGGGGGGTTTTGCTGCATTTGGCACATCTGGGTTATTTTAGATGGCCCTGAACAAAGGCAGACTGTAAAGTCTTTACTTCCAGATACCAGTTTGATATTCAAAACGTTGCTTTAGTGAGGAAAATGATTTAAAGAATCCACATTAGTGGTATGATAGATTGAACTTAAACCTACAGCGTCCTGATAACTGCATGCAGACACATCAGGATCTGTGTTTACTTTTGGTAATAACTGATTATTTTCTTCAACTGATTGCCTGAAAATAAAACTCTGTAGATCTCACTGCGCTCTCCTTATACCAGAAAATAAATCTTATTTACTTTTTCATTATACAAACGTATACATATTTAAGTGTATGTACTTATAAAGCAAAACTATTATCCTTTGGAAATATGGTAGGAGAGGAATACAGTATGAATGTGAGGGAAGAAAAAAAAAAAAAAAAAAGAAAAGAAAAAATCAGTCTCAATACTGGCTAGTCATACCGTCCAGTTTCCTCCCACAGTGAAAAGTGACTCTGGAGAAACCAAAGTGACTGAAACATCTCCTCAGTTTTCAAAGACACTCAACCACAGCAAATTCCAGAGAACCCTTAACTGTAGCTAGCACTTAGCACAAGGAGCTAACTTCTCATGCGGCTGAGGGGTTTAGGAAATATGGTTGGCACTGATGTATCTCAGCCCCATGTATTCTCCATCCCTTGTGATTAAAGCTTTTTGCTGGGCTTACATTTTTCCTTGGCCTCTAGCATTCAATTGTGGCTTGGCCTAAGTTAGTACAGTATTTACTGCAAAAAAGCTTTTATTATCAGACCCCTTGTGGCTTTGGATTGCAGACTTGAATTATGAAATATGGATGGAGTAACTGCGAGGGCACACCGAAGAGGAGAAATCTTTAACTGGATGACATTTATTGGAAAACAAGCAATCTGGGAAGAAGCGAATAGGAGTTTTACTGAGTGAGGGACAGCAATATCGGCAGGGCCGAGTTAAACTAGACAACAAAAAAACTTTCTTCCTGGTTCAGAGCACTGGCATTCTTACACATTTCTGAGCTGGGTGGCTTCTTCTCTGTACTCACAATTTCAGCTGCTATGAGTAAGCCAAGGATGCTTCTCACATCTTATGGTTAAAAAAGATCAGAGAAAGTCCTAAATGTTGCTAGGAAATCAGTAGTTCTCACCAGGGAAAAGAAGAGTAGATCACTATTCAGACTCATCTCCCAACATCAACTCTTGCCTACGGTTTGCCTGCTCCTGAGGCACCTTTCCAGAGCAAGGCTGAGGAGA